TCTTTTTAACAAATGGTACTGGAATAATTGGGTATCCACATAACAAAAGAATGAAGTTGGTCTCCTACTTCACACCGTATACAATAATTTATTCAAAATGGATCATAAACTTAAATATCAGAGCTAAAATTATAAAGAAAACATAGGTATACAACTTCATGACCTTTGATTAACCTTGAATTGTACACTTTGAAAGAGTAAATGTTATATGAATGGTATCTCATATATCATAAAAACCCCTTCAGTTAAAATTTATATATGTAATATAAAATTTAAGGAGCCCTAATGGCGCAGTGGTTTAGCACTCGATGGCTGACTGAAAGTCAGTGATTCAAACCCACCAGCGGCTCTGCTGGAGATAAGACCTGTCGATCTTCTCCTATAAGATTACGGCCTAGAAAACTCACTGGGATGGTTCTACTCTGTTTTATAGGGTCACTATGAGTTGGGATTGATTGACAGCACACAACAACAACATATAAAATTTATATGTGTGTGTGTGTATAACCTCCTTGAAGTAAATGGCTTAATTGCAAAACAAAAAAATCAAAAAAGTTAACAGAAAAGAACAAGTAATCTTATAACCATTAACTTTCATTGAGGTCCTGAGCACAGTGTAAGGAGTTTTTCTGTGTTAACTTTTTGAAATGTTTTTGTTACAATAAAAAAAAAAATGAAGGCACCCTTAACCAGATTTTCTATTTTACATCTGTATTGCAATGTACACCAACTCCTTGCTCATTGACATGGTTAAGTTTCAACCATTGTTAACGCAAAAATCGGTGTTATGCAAAAATGAAGCATCCATCAAATCACAAAATGGACGATGACTACGTCATTATATAACTGCCAAGTTACATCGTTACATAACTGCCAAACCACTGAGAATCATGGCCCAACCAAGTTGACACATAACCTTAACCATCACAGCCAGTGTTACTCGCTCCTCGGTGTTCGCTACTGCCAGATAAACTTTGTTAATGTGCAAAATAGTCAGATGGTAGATTTTTTACTATTGTTACAAATGTGAAATGTCGAGTGAATAGTCAGTAAGTGAGGAGAGGGTGTAAAGTACCTAGCACAAAGGATGCACTCAACAAATGATAGTAACAATGTTATTTTAAATAATATTTGTTAGTATATAATATATTTTAATTGAAGTGTTAGTAGTGTTAATAAAACAGCTCTTAGTTGCTTGCATCACAGGCCCCAGACCCACGGCTGTTGTAAAAAAGAATGTGGTGCTTACTCAAAAAACTAAAAAGGGAATTACCGTATAACTCAGCAATTCCACTCCTGGGTATATACCCAAAAAAGATTTGAAAGCAGAAACTTGTACACCAATGGTTCATTGCAGCACTATTCACAATATTCAAAAGGTAGAAACAACCTAAATGCCCATTAGTGAATGAATGGATAAACAAAATGTGGTACCTACATACAATAGACTACTACTCAGTGAGTAAGAGAAATGAAGTCTTGATACATTGCTACAGTATGGATGGAGCTTGAAGACATGCTGAGTGAAATAAGTTAATCACGAAAGGACAAATATTGGATGACCTCACTTATATAAAAAAAACAAGAACAGACAAATGTATAGAGACCGAAGTTTATTAGTGGTTACCGGGAGGGGAAAGGGAGTTTATTGCTTACGGAGCACTGGCTTTTGCTTTTCAGTGATGGAAAAACCGCATTGATTAAGGATAGGGTTGCACAGCTGATGAAAGTTGAATTTGCAAAAGTTGGGTGATAGATATATTTACAACAATGAAAAAAAAAAGCTGCTGAGGCTGCTTATGTACAACCAAACACCTCATGGGATATGGTTCCTTGGTTTGGAGATTTAGGGTCATGGTTTCATGGGACATCCCAGTTAATTCCTGGCCTAATAACATACGTTTAGTGCTTCTGTTCTACTTTCTGTAGGGTTGCTATAAGTTGGAATTGACTCAGGGCAACGGGTTTGGTTTTGGTTTTTGGTTCTATCTTCTAGTTCATTGTGTAGTGCCTGGGGTCTTAAAAGCTTGCAGGTGGCCATCCAAGGCACAACAATTGGTCTGTATACAGCTAGAGCAACAGAGGAAGAAGGAGAGTCAGGAATAGAGGGGGGAAATGGAATGTATGACTAATTGCCTTCATAAACAGCTACCTCCTTTGCCATGAGACTAGAAGAACTGAATGTTGCCCGGCCACCATTACTGGATATTTTGATCAAAGATTCTGTAGAAGAATCCTGATCAAAAGGGGGAGAATACAGAATAGAGTTTCAAATTCTTATGGACTCCAGATGTTTTGGAGCCATGGAGGCTGGATGAACTATTGCCCTGAGATAATCTTTAAAACTTAAACCAAAAATATCCCCTGAAGTCTTCTTAAAAACCAAACAATAGTTTAGTTTAACTAGTAAAGAATGGTAGCCTTGAGCATTATTCTCTTTTAAGATCTATCTGTATGGGATCAGATTGACAACAGCAACTCAAAAGATTAGATAGGAAGCTTAGGTGGCAGTGAGTTTATGTTAATAGGGGAGGAAGAACTCAGAAAAGGAAGGTGAGAATGGTTGCATGACTCAGAATATAATCAGTGTCACTGAATTATACAAGTAGAAATTGTTGAATTGATGTATGTCTGCTATGTATATTCTCAACAACAAATGTAAATTATTACAAAAAATCTTCTAATGGCTTCTAAAGTACTATATCATATGGTCCTCCACCACCTCTCTAGCTTCATCTCCTACCACTCATCTCTCACTAAACTCCACATAGGACACAACGACCTCCTTGGTGTTCCTTGAACACGTTGGCTATACATCCTTGCATTCACTAGAATGTTCTTCCATCAGATTTCTATAGCTTGCTCCTTCTCATTTTTCTGATCTCTCATCTGAAATGTCACCTTAGAAACACTTTTGCTGAACATCTTCTCTAAAGTAGAACCCTTGCTTTTTAGATAGTCTCTTTTTCTTTACCCTTTTTGTTCTTCATAACACTTTTGACTAATTGAAATTAAATTATTGTCCATCTTCTCCCCACTAGAGGTTCCATAACAGCAGGACTGGATTTTTTTATTCACTGCTGTATATCCAGGAAGTAGAATAGTAACAGGCATATAGTAAACACTCCAGGAAATAAATAAAAGAACAATTAACGATTTCAGAATGATGAATGCAGAGAAGATGGACCTTTAATAGAAAGAGGACTTTTACTACATTGGGTTGAAAGAGGATGAGTATAAATGCAATCGGGTTTATAGCCAATATAGTGTAAATAAACAGATAAGGATGTTCCTATCTGGTGACTTCTGTATCTCTGAGAAACAAAGCAGATCTAGTAAGGGTGAGGGAAGAGTGGTAGTGACCTTTCTTAATAGTGGTAATGACCTTTATTAAGATTAGGTTTGAGGAGTGTAGAACAAGTATGAAATAGTTACTCCACAGAGTGAGATAAGAAATAAGGTTGCTTGGCAAAACTGACAACCTAGTAGACACTAACTCCACCGGTGTATTCAAGGAATGATGCAGAGAAAGGAAATGACTGGGTTCAATCATCATACAGATTTTGCAGTTAAATGGAATTGACGAACAAGGGGTTAGAAAGTTAAGGGTATTTCCTATGGAGTCTAACTAGAAAAGGAGTAAAGACGAAAAGGTGTAGGACCTGATATTTACAGATAATGTAGAGGAATTAATGGATTTGAGGTTTCTGTATGTACTGCTGAAATAGGAACTACTGTATTAAGAAGACCTGATCAAGAGAAATAGAAGGATAGAAAACTGTCAAAGAAGAGAATATCTGAACAAACGATTTGTAGAAAAGATCTAGCTGCTTCTGATGGTGACTGTGGGAGTTGGTAAGGCCATGATGAGGTCATGCAAATAAAGGATAGGAGGCTAGTAGATCTTCTCTATGAACATTATAATTGCCTAGAATGCTCACAAGTGAGAATAGAGAGGCATATTTTAAGCCAGGTACTGTGGTCTTCCAAGAAAGAAGTAATCAAAACCATGTTTTATTTCTAAATGGTAAATGACAATAATTGTAAAACAGTAGAGCTTTTTTCCCCAAAAAGGAGAAAAAAATCACCTTGCAGAAGGATTACTATTCTCACTCTACAGATGTCAAAATAGAGACTCTGAAAAATTAAATAATTTGTTCAAAATCACCCAACAACTAAATGGTGGATCTAAGATGTAAATAAACAGCCTTCCAACTCTAAAGCTCATTGTATGGCTTTCTAGAAAGGAAATGCCCAAATATTTCAAATGTGGGAAGATACATAATGAAGAAGGGTAGTATTCAGATTTTAAATTTACTCTAGGCCCCCCCCTAAAAAGAAAAAAGATTTGATAAATAATTAAGATAGTGGTAGTTACCCCCATGGGAATTGACTATCCCTTTACTTAGATAAACGTCTTCTGTATTACTAAAATAAAGCAATTAAAATCAAGTGTTTTATCAACTATACCTACTCCTCACTTACCGACTATTAATGTCACTTAATTATACATGTAGAAATTGTTGAATTGGTGTATGTTCTGCTGTGTATATTCTCAACAACAACAAAAAATATTAAAAAAAACACTTGTTAAAAAAAAGTTGGTGTATATTAGAAAGGGCTGAACTTTATAGTCAGACTATATCAACAGTACAACAGAAGCAGTGTGATATTAGGCAAGTTATTTAGCATGTCTGAACCTCAATATTCTTATCATCCCTGTTTTTGTCATCTTTATGTGAAAAATAGGGATGATAATGGCTACCTTGCAGAGATGTATAAGGATTAGAGACGATTATGTAAATAAAGGGCCTAAGACAGTCCCTGACACACAGTATGTGTTCAATAGGTGAAGGCATTATCACTGAAAACTTGGTTCTTTCTTCCTTGGCTATGATGTGTTTATGTGTTCCTTCATCCTTAATTCCCATTTGAACCCTAAACTGCTGACCACCATTAAACTATTATATCTGTTAACTTCTTTGTTTTTTGTTTTGCAGGCAACAATTGGCATTGACTTTTTGTCAAAAACAATGTACTTGGAAGATCGAACAGTGAGTAATGTTTTTAGTGTGCAATTTTCTGCAGCACTCGGTAGAAAACTGATCAAAGCTGTAATCATTGGTTGTCACCACAAGAAGTATTTAGGAAAGTTACAAAGTTAGTTTATAGGCCTCTAGGAAAACTGTTATTACAGTGTTAATATTACTTAGTACTCTGACTTCTTATCTCCAAATGAAATCCAAAGGAGAGAGAAAACCAAGTTATTTGCAAAAACCCAGATGGCCCTAAGCCTGTTAAATAAATTTTGTCTTCTTGGTTTGGAAAAATGATAATCCATAAGGTTAAGAGATAATTAAAAGAGAATTTTCCTGAAGAAATTGGAGTGCTAAAGACCTTTTCAATGCTGCTCTTCAGGAAGATTTCATTTGAATATTACACAGTTAGTGAAGTGTAAGGTTTTCTTTGCCAGAATACGATGTGTGCCAAAATAGACTGTGAATAGAAAGAAGTAACATGTCTTTATTTGTTGGATTTTTGTCTTCCATCCTTTAGAATGTTATCCTTAAATACAGTGTAATTTCCATACTGTCCTTTGAGAAAAGCTAGCTTATGCATTAAAGATTAAACACAATACCTTGGGACCTGTACCCAAGAAACATTGTTTTGTCTCATATATGTGTGAGTTTTGTTCTTTTGGATGTTCTCTTTTATGTTTTAATACATAGTATGCCATTTTTTTTAAATTTGAGAGCTTGGAAACTGCTTTATGATGGTAAGAGAACTTGATACTTGCTTTCAAGCTTTTGTTCACCTAATGTAGGTATGAGAAAGTAAGAAAGTAATTACTCACGTAGAGTTGCAAAAAGATATTTTTCTTTTTTGTTGTTATTCTCATACATATAGGGTCGCTATGAATTGGAATAGACTTGATGGCAGTGGGTGTAGAAAGTTCTGGGAGAACTGTATAAGGGGGCTGGGGGGACCATAAGCAAAATAGCCAGAGACTGAGTTTCAAAGTGTTCTTGACCCGGTAGGAAAGGGACATATTTTTGCTTTAGAAAGGCCTTCAGAAAAGCATTAATTCGTTTACTCTGATAGCCCAGGCTATACATTGACATTTACCTTCATTTTTTTCTCATTCTCACTGTTTGAACATCAACAGAGTCTACTTTTTACCATCTGGAAGGCATAGAGATTCAAAGAGAGGTTATAGGAAGTAAAAAAGGGAAACGTTTTTGATGCGTGATTATCTTTCCCAATGCCATTTTACAGTCATGTACCTACCAGGCAAGGAAAATTTTTTAATACTCCTTTTCAAAAAGGGAAAATTTTATGTTATTTTCATTTCTAACACCTCCTCGGCCTCTTGCATGAATCTCCTTTCTACTTCCCTCCCTCCCTTTTTCCTCTCTTTTTAAAAGCATTATTTGTTTTTCCTTTTTAGTATTAGTTTGTTTTTTTTTTTATTTATTTTTTCCCATCCCACAGATCAGGCTGCAGCTATGGGATACTGCGGGTCAGGAACGTTTCCGTAGCCTCATTCCCAGTTACATCCGTGATTCTGCTGCAGCCGTAGTAGTTTACGATATCACAAGTAGGTATTTTGCAACGGGTTGACCTTTCTTATTTTTTTTGCTTGTTTGACTGATTTTGTTGTTAGGTTCGATTGCAATTATGGGACACAGCAGGTCAAGAGCGGTTCAGGAGCTTGATTCCTAGCTACATTCGTGACTCCACTGTGGCAGTTGTTGTTTATGATATCACAAGTGAGTGGGGGGGGAATTACGCATTTCTAATCTTCTTTTAACCTTTAGCTTAGCTGCATGCATGCTCTTGTCTTGTGCTTGTTTTCTGTACTGGCATGTAAAAATGAGTTTTATCATAGCAAACCTTATCACAGACCAGCCAGGTCAGAAATATTTACTTTTGTATTTGTGCCATTATGCTTTATTTCTACTGTATTAGATTCTTTTCTCCCAGAAATTTTCCTTCAAATCCAACCATGACTCCTCCCCAAGGCTTTTTAGTTTCGTGATATCACTAAGCCATACCATGATTATAATAGGAGGAACGTCTCCTTTTTTATTTAACTTGATCTCATATTTTTCTAAAATAAAACAATCTGCATTTAAGTCTCTTGCCAAGTTTCCCAAATCCTCCAAGGCCTCCGATGAGGCTATTAAAATCTTCTGCCAGCCAGCTTTTCTCTGCTTTCCCTTCTGCTGTCCTCTGTCTATAGAAGAAGACAGAGAAAACACAATGTGCAGATTTCTATTAATCATTTTCATTTGAATCGTATCTGGGTTCTGTGACTAAGACTGCTTTACTTCTTTGATAAGAAATTACGCTTTCATTTCTCACCACAAAAAAATTAAAAAATGAGAGACCGCTTAAGTAATGGTTTCTCTTTTTCTTTTTCCCAAAGACTGAGTAATGCCTTTGGCATTTTAAGTGACTGTAAATTTTCCATGGAGCATTGGTGACTGACAGGAAATTGCTCTCTGATTGAAATTGTAAATTGGCTTATGACATATAATAAGTAATATTAAGCATTATTCCATATAGTAGTCCAGAATTTATAGGAAAATAGAAACTAATTTGCTCAGTAAACGTTCATCTAAAGCACAATTTAAAAAAAAAGAATTTATAGGGAAACCAGGATAGTTCAGCTTCCAGGACTTTAAAAATGAAGACACTGTTGATTTGAGCTAGTGATACTATACATTTTTGCATATCTGCCCAGTAAGAAGTCATACCTACTTAACAGTAATTGCCATGACAGAATTAGAAGTTTGTCATAGAGACTTTTATATATATAGATAGATAGATAGATAGATAGTGCTATATGCAGTCTTTTCGTGCAGCTTCACTTTGGGGTGCTACTTGTTTTAAAGTATGTTCATTGTGCATTGACATGTTTTGCAGCTTTAAAATGTTTGTGCTTACTTTAACCAAAGGAAGTGAAACCTGGGGTATTTTTCTTTAAAAATTACACACGTGGTTAAAATAATATTAGTAAATTGTTTTCTTTAGCACCTGTAAAAAGTGTTAAAGTACTCAGAATCTAACACTGGAAAAGATGGGTTTTGTTACAGGTGATTATGGTGTAGTAAACTGATGAACTTCAAGTTAAAGTGATCACAAACTAAGTAAGCAGTGCAAACGAGTGGTGTTGAAAAGCTATGTAAAGTCTTTATAGATTTTCTGGATGTGTTGGGACTTACTGGCTGACATACTTTTGGAAATGCTTTGTCACGTTTAGTATGTGTAAGTGATCAAAAGGCATCGTGGCAATGTGACACCATATTATCTGCCATAGCTGTCCTTAGTTTTAAAAGGTTTTTTTTTTTTTTAAAGTGTATTTTATATTGTACTTATTTGGTCATGTCAAAAACTTTTGAAACTACTATAAAAGGAACCTTGAGAAGTTTTTTTCTTGTGATTTCTTTAGATCACTGACAGTTGTAATCAGATAAAATGGAGTTATGTTGCAGGCACATTAAATGTAGGGTTTTAATGTGCCAGCCCCCTTCCAACTTCCAGGGCGTTTTTTTGACGGGGGAATCCATCACTTCGGGAGACATTTGCAATAGCACTAATCTCTCTGTCCACCCTCCTACACCAGATGTTAACTCATTCCAGCAAACTACAAAATGGATTGATGATGTCAGAACAGAAAGAGGAAGTGATGTTATCATCATGCTAGTAGGAAATAAAACAGATCTTGCTGACAAGAGGTATGGAGTGATTTTGTGTGTATGGAATGTTTGATTTCTGTATTAAGCAGCCTGTTTATTTTTGTCACTGAAGGATTATTTTGAAAGGAAACATGTTTAATCCTTAAGTTTACCACCGCCTTTTCTTCAGTGAGGGAACCTGAAATATAAATATTAAACTCAGTCCTTAAAGGAAAACTAGTTTTGTTTTGTGTAAGCCCGTGTGTAAGTAAGCAACACTAGTGTAAGATTGTTTACACATGAAGCTGATAAATATTTTGCATTTTTTAGGATTCATAAGCATGAGCAGTTTTTTTTTAAAGAGTAAAACATCTTACAAAACAAATCCTATCTTTAAAAATTGTTCCTAATGATTAAATACACACTCTTTTCTTGGTAGTCTTATAAGCATTCCTTATAATTCAGTGGTGTAGGTTTTTTTTTTTTTTTTAATTGTATGGTTGAGCCAGACTGTAGTTGAACTGAATAGCTTGATTGTGATACCTTAGTCAAATGAGCAAAGCCATATTCAAGTCACAGGGTGTAAAATGTATTAACATTCACTGTAGAACCCATGGCTTGAATATCTGCTTTCAGTGTTCTTAAGTGACCTATTAGATATTTGCAGTTATTTTTTCTGCTTTAAATAGTCTTCCCCATTCTACTTACTAGCAGGCAGTTTTACTATGTATTATTTGTTTATTCATGAGTTGGATATTGAAATTCAGGTAGTGAACTTATGCTGTTAAATTAAAATGTTGCCAAGAAATCCAGTGTGTTTAAAGGCTTGTAAAGCTGTTGAGCCCATTTTTTTTCTGTGGTACCTCAGTTGGAATTGGTAGTACAGTTGCAAAAAAGTCTTTATGAATTTAAGAGTAAGTTCAAAGTATGACTTCATCTTTTCTTTATGAAAAGCTTTTTGGACATGAATTGTCATGATATAAATTTTCCCTACTTATCACCAATATGATAATTTAAGGATTATATTGATATATTCATTCTAATAGAGATTCCCTAGGTACCTTCATTTTTAAAGGAAAAATTGTATATCTATATTGTTTCCCTTTGTAGGGAGAGTCATCTAAGAGGGTGCTAATAGGTGTCTGTTCCTTTATTGCTTAATATTTCAGTTAAGTGTACAAATGCTAGAAACTTACATAAATTATATTTACAATAATTTTTCTTTAGGGTAGTATTTGTCCATTGCTTTGGAATTACCATCTTTCATGGTAATTTTTGTCAGGCTATCACCTTTAAAAAGATTATATTTAAAAAGATTACAGCCTTCAGCCTGGTACTGGTACAATGACAGATACATTGACCAAGGGAACAGAATTGAGAACCCAGATGTAAATCCATCCACCTGCAGTCACCTGATCTTCAACAAGGGCCGAAAGTCCATCAAATGGGGAAAAGACAGTCTTTTTAACAAATGGTGCTGGCAAAACTGGATATCCATCTGCAAAAATATGAAACAGAACCCATACCTCACACCATATACAAAAACTAATTCAAAGTGGCTCAAAGACCTAAATATAAAGCCAAAAACTATAGAGTTCATAGAAGAAAAAATAGGACCAACGCTACAGGCCCTAATACACGGCATTAACAGAATACAAACCATAACCATCAACACACAAACCTCAGAAGATAAGCTAGGTAACTGGGATCTCCTAAAAATCAAACAACTATGCTCTTCCAAAGACTTCACCAAAAGAGTAAAAAGAGAACCTACAGACTGGGAAAAAATTTTTGGACAGTACAAGTCAGACAAAGGTGTAATCTCCATAATCT